TGTGTGTGTGTGTGTGTGTGTGTGTGTGTTTAAACGCCTGTATTTCGCTGTTTTGTTCCCGCGGGTCCCGTGTTTAGCATCAGTAGTCTATGCACACTAGCGCTTTCTCATTCGAAGCAGTCGCGGAACTTTCCTATCGCTCTTGTGTGTTCGTGCAGCCGCCAAGTGAACGCTTGTTTTCTGCGTTTTGTGGCTTTATTCGCCTGTTGTGTGGACAGCACACACACACCCACCATCGTCGGAACGGAGCGCGTTAGCATGCGGGGAACAGGGCTGCTGTGAGTCTCGAGGTCAGTGTTCAGAGTGGTTTAACGCGAGCTGAGCGCAAAGCTCGTGCTGTACGGCGAATCCGGTCAGATACAGGCGTGTTGTTCGACCCACACGGGCTTTCAAGAGTAAACCGGTCCAGAACATAACACCGCCGGGGTCGCTGTAGAGGTCTGCAAGCCCGCCGGGTCCCGCGGAGTCCATTCGGGTCGGACTCGGGCTCTTTTAGCTTCTCTCCTTTCATTGTGCCCATATACGCAGAGCACACTACTGTGTGAAGTAGTTATATTGATTATATTATATACACAACGCATATACGCACGAACTAGCATACAGTTGACCATGCAGAGCATCAGGGAGAAGTTGGAGCGTGGGGAGTTACTAGTTCCCAGTGCTTCGGGAAAAGCTGCATTTTGTTAGTCTTGATTTGATTACTACGGCAAACAGTGAGTCAATTGGTCATGTGCAGTGTAGAGTCTAACCCGGAGTATGTGAGTTTCCCTCCGCGCTCCGAGCGTTTAATAATCGCCCCGCTCGCGCTCCAGCTCCAGCTCCACTCCTCGCTCACTGATCTCAGAAACACTGCTCCAAGGCTGAAGTATTTCAGCTGGTTTAAATATCACAGTTCTGTTCAGAACCTATATTAAAATAAATAAAATCACAGGAGCATTTCAAAGTGGATTATTGGAACACTAGTGTGCAAACTTTTTTCCTGCCACATGACAAGCTAATAACATGGTTGTCAGCATTAAAAGGTAGGCCATTGATGCTTTTTGCAGTGCACATTTTGTTTGTGATGAAAATAACAGTAGGCTTTGTTTAACTTGAATTCTTGCTAAATGTGCAGTTATATTACGGGCCATTCGCTTGAATTGTACTCATGATGGAGCGAATGAAAACCATTTTTATAAAATCAGTAAAAGTTTTTTTTAAATTTTTTTATTAGATTTATAGTAATTTACGGAGCCCCTAAAGGGACATGGTGGTGGAAAAAAAATTAGGGGTGGGAGGAAATTTTTTTTTGCGTTCTCTCGCAAAACTTTTGCGTTCCCTCGAGAAACTTTAGGGGCTCCGTAGTAATTTAAAGCTTTATACAGATATATTTAGCAAGTCTATGAGGCAAGTATTCGCTGAGTGTATTGTGAAGCGCTCCTGGCCGAAATTGCAGAAAGCGCGTCCTGTATCCTTTGTTTTATAAAAGCACAACGTTTTGTTGATATTGTATGTGCACACAAATAAAAGTAGACCCTTTACAGTTCCGAGTGATATGTTACTCTTACCTTTTTATGAGCAATAATTACGGCATATTTTAAGTTGTTTCCAATGCAAGTGATCGCGCCGGAGCCTCCATGTCCTGAAAGCGCTTTAGGCAGCGTCTGCGCCACGGGGGGCCTGAGGGGGCCCGGCCCGGCCACCTCGGTCATCTGACAAATATTTTTTCCTCCCACCCCAAATTTTTTCACTCAATCTGATTTTTTTCCGCCACCATGTCCCTTTAGGGGCTCCGTAGTAATTTAAAGCTTTATACAGATATATTTAGCAAGTCTATGAGGCAAGTATTCGCTGAGTGTATTGTGAAGCGCTCCTGGCCGAAATTGCAGAAAGCGCGTCCTGTATCCTTTGTTTTATAAAAGCACAACGTTTTGTTGATATTGTATGTGCACACAATGTTATTCGTCATGTATGATCTCGTAATGGAAAGATCGATAGCAGTCTGTTTGTCTAAGAAGTGATAATGTCAACGGATTTAAAGGACGATACAATAGACCTGTTCAGAATAAAGTAGTGCTGACGCGAGCTACAGAAACATTTAAACAGTTTTGAGAAGAAGCAAAAAATATGCTGAAAGAAGTAAAGTACTTTTTAAAAAGCTTTGAGATATGTCAGTCTCTTCTTTTCTCGTGACTTTCTTTAATAATTAAAGTTAATCATAGCACAAACAAAATATATAGAGTGCATTTCACTATATAGCCTATGTCCAGCTATCATTTTTTTTTATCATATTGTGTGTGTGTGTGTGTGTGTTAGGCCTTGTAGTGAGTTCATTCTAGATGTTTTTTTTTTTTTTTTCCAAAAAAAAAAAAAAAAAAAATTGTATTGTGTTTTTAAAAGCATGCAGCAAACGAAAATATGCGATTAATCTGTTAAAATGTGTTACTGTGGGTTAACAAATTTGCATTAGTAGGCTATTCTTATGCTTGGCATAAGAATTCTTTTTTTGCTAATTCAATTCAGTTTGAAATCAAATTTGAAATTATGCTTCATTGTGCTGTAAGCTTTTGCAACAAAGTTACCCTATTTTAAAGACACAAATACACAGAATGAGCAAATGTTTAAGATTGAGATTTTTGTAATGGTAATTGATCAATTTTATATGTATGTAAATAAAAGCCTATATTAAAATCTGTTCATCATATAAAGCGAATGTCTTTTTAGAAAACTTGGATTAAACCAATTTCAAAGCTTGAAATAATAAACTTGAAATAATGATTGCCTTGAAAAAATGGATG